GCCCAGCCCACAGGGGCTTTGTATGTAGCTGCTGTGTGTGTGTGAAGCTTGCTAGGCGGATAAGCCTGAGAACTGCACAGCTCACCTGGTTGCATAGGACCTCATTTTCTTACCTTCTTTCCCAGCTGTACCTTTACAGTTCTCTTCAGTTTTCCAAGAGCAACAGGAAATGAACGAATCACAGGTGAGTTTATTCCTGCTTTGTTTCACCGTGGATTTTGTGAGGTTTGTAAGGGAACAGAAATTAAAATAGAAAAATAGAAATAGATGAAAATCAACATCAGAGACCCTATAGACTATCAGGGTCAAGAGCTGAGCAAAGTCAGCATATTGATAAATCCTGGTCCTATAAAGTCCCAGAGTTACCAAATTTGAGCTGCAAGTTTGCCTCTGATCTTTCCGACAGCAGAGGAGAACCAGAGAAAAAAGTCTTTTAGGGCACTAAAATGCTGGCACTGCTGTAACATTATCAGAGACTGACGGCTTAAACAACAAATACTTATTTCTTATAGTTCTGGAGTCTGGTAACTCCAAGATCAAGATGCCAACCTATTTGGTTCTTAGTGAGGACCCTCATCCAGTTTGCGCATGGATCTCTTCTCATTCGCATGGTGGGGAGAGAGTAGGTGGCAAGCTCTCTCGTGTCTTTTCTTCTCAGGGCACTAATGACCCAATTACCTCCCAAAGTCCCCATTGTCAGATACCATTACATTGGGGATTAGGGCTTCAACATATGAATTTTGGTGGTGGGACACAAATGTTCAGTTCATAACAGAGTTCGAGTACATAATTTTCTAACGGGCTTGCTGGGTCCAGCGGTATAGAATATCTGGAAGAAGGCTGAATGGCCTACATGTCCTTTAAACAGCTCTGCATAAATATGTCCCTCACCTAGGCTGTGGCACTATACGTGTGACTGCTACTTAACCCTGCTTACTTGCCAGCACTTCGTGTTGTCAGACTTTAGACTTAGTGCCAGTCTAACTTCTGAGAAAAACTCATCGTTTTAATTTGCATTTCTGAGATTACTAATGAGCTTGTACATCATATATTTATTGGCTTTTTTTTAAAAAAAGATTTTATTTATTTATTTGACAGAGAGAGAGAAAGAGAGAGAGCACACGCAGGGAGAGTGGCAGGTGGAGGGAGAGGGAGAAGCAGGCTCCCCGCTGAGCAGACAGTCCGACATGGAGCTCGATCCCAGGACCCCGGGATCATGACCTGAGCTGAAGGCAGTCGCTTAACCAACTGAGCCACCCAGGAGCCCCTATTTATTGGCTTTTCATTGCTTTTGTGAAAGACTTCATTTTTAATTTTTCTATATTAATTTTTAAGAATACTTGATATATTTTGGACAGTAATTCTTTGGCTATTATATTTGTTGTGAACATGTTCTCCAACTCTGTCCCTTGACCTTTACCTCTACAGAGTCTTTGGCTTTATTAGAGTTTTATATTTTTATGTAGACCAATCTTTTGATCTTTTCCATTTTATTTATTTTTCAATTTTAAAATTCTTCCCTAACTTAAGATAATTTAATATTTAAAATTTTTGTTTAATTAATATTAATACTATTAAAAATATTTAAGCCTTGAACCAATATGGAAATCGTTATTGTAGATAATATGAGGAGGGAATCTAGTTTTACCTTTTAACACATGAAGTACCAGTTCTTTTTTTTTTTTTTAAGATTTTATTCATTTATTTGACAGAGAGAGACACAGCGAGAGAGCGAGAGAGGGAGAGAGGGAACACAAGTAGGGGGAGTGGGAGAGGGAGAAGCAGGCTTCCCGCTGAGTAGGGAGCCCGATGCGGGGCTCGATCCCAGGACCCGGGGATCATGACCCAAGCCGAAAGCAGACACTTAACGACTGAGCCACCCAGGCGCCCCAGTACCAGTTCTTTACTAATGTTTTTCTCAATGAATTATAATGCCACAGCTATCCCGTATATTACTGTGTCTGCATGCATCTGTTTCTGGCCATTCTAATTCATTCCATTAATCCTTAATTCATTCTTCTTTAGGTTCATCTTGTCCTTTCTTACCTTCTTTCTGTCCTCCTGGATGAAACCTGGCATCCTTACCTTGTGCCTGGTTTTCAGAGATTACTTAGGAAGTGTTAGCAGACCCCGGCATAGTCTCTTTGGGTTTTGGTACACACCAGTTACCCCATTAAGTAAGTTTCTTCCTAAACCTTAAGTTGTAAATGTCCATTACACTTAGTAGTTTTTCTAGACCCCTTAAGGATTGATTTGGTTACTAATTTGATTTCTTAGATGGTATATAGTTTTTTTCAGGTTTTCTGGACTTCTTGGTTCAATTTTGGGCACATTTATTTAAAAAATTGTACATTTTTTTAAGTTTTCCAATTTCTTTGCATAAGTATGTTTAAAAGACTTGACTTAAAATCTTTAGTGAATGCTAATTTTTTTAAAAGTATGAATGCTAATTTTTTATTCCAATTTTTATCAATTATTAAATTTCACTTTAATATAGAAGCTGCTGATTAGAAATGGAAAAACTGTGGTCTGGCTAGTCATATATCTGAAAGCCTAAAATTATAGCATGTGGATATAGGATTGATATTTTCTTTTTTTTTTTAAAGATTTTATTTATTTATTTGACAGAAATAGAGAGCACAAGTAGGCAGAGCGGCAGGCAGAGGGAGAGGGGGAAGCAGGCTCTCCACTGAGCAGGGAGCCCGACGTGGGGCTCAATCCCAGGACCTTGGGATCATGACCTGAGCCGAAGACAGGCACTTAACCAGCTGAGCCACCCAGGTGCCCCCGGATTGATACTTTCAGTTGGTGATAGCATTCTTGAAATGCTTTGCCAGGAGAGGACACAGAGTTGCCACAGTGATGCCAACCATTAATATACACCAAGCTATCATGGTTTTATGTGTTTTTTATCTGTGTGTGTGTGTGTGTGTGTGTGTGTATTGGGTAATGCATTCACGATGGAAAAGTCAGTACAATACAAACAATATAAATAGAAGTGAATTCACACTCCCATGTCTGTCTTTCACTGCAAACTCCTCTTGTAATTATAGGGAACAAATTTTGTGTATGTCTATTTTCTCCATTTTTTTAAATGCAGAGATAAGTAAATGTGATTTTATAGCTATCTCTCTGGGTAGATAGATATAGGTATGTATATAAACTATATACATGTAAGTATGCATTTCTACCTTTTTCTTGAATGTATTTATATGTATATATGTGTGAATATATATATACATGTGTATTAATGCATGTATATATATGAGTGTATATATGTATGTACTTATTTTTAATCCTTCTTAGCCAAAGGATATAAGCATACCATAAAATAACCTGTTCTTCACCTTAATTATTGCATTTAAGAATATATACTGGAGATATTTTGAAATTAGTACATAGTAAAATTTATGTAGTTTATTTAAAATTTTTTTTGTAGAGATGGAATTCACCTTTTTAAAGTGTTCAGTTCAGGGATGCCTGGCTGGCTCAGTCTGTAGAGTGTAGAGCATGTAACTCTTGATCTCAGGGTTGTGAGTTTGAACCCCACATTGGGTGTAGAGATTATTTAAAAATAAAACTGGAAGGAAGGAAGGGAGGGAAGGAGGGAGGGAGGGAAGAAGGAGAAAGAGTTCAGTTCAGTGGTTTTTAGTATTTTCACATAGTGGTGCAGTCATCACCAGTATCTATTTTCAAAACATTTTCATCATCCCAAAACAAGACACCGTACCCATTAGTAGTTACTTTCCTATTTTGCCTCAACTCCAGGCAACCACTGATTGACTTTTTGTCTGTATAGATTTGCCCATAATGGATATTTCATATAAGAGGAATCATAAAATCTGAGGTCTTTTGTGTCTGGTGTCTTTGACAGCATAATGTTTTCAATGTTCATCCTTACTGTAGCATGTATTAGTACTTTTTTTTTTAATGGCTCTGTTATGTTATACAGATATATCACATTTGATTTATCCATTATTTTGGACATCTGTGTTTTTCCCACCTTTTGTCTATTATGAATAAAGCTGCTTTGAACATTTATAGACAAGCTTTTGCATGAACATATGATTTCAGTGCTGTGGGTATATACTTAGGAGTGGGAGTGGAGTTGCTGGGTCATATGGTAACTTTATATTTAACTTTTTGAGGAACCACCAAACTGTTCGCTAGAGGGGCTGCATAATTCTGCATTCTAACCAGCAATATATAATATAAGCATTCCAATTTCTCTACATCCTTGACTCACTTGATATTGTTCATCTTCTTTATCATAGCCATTCTAGTGGGTATGGAATGGGATATCATTGTGGTTTTGATTTGATTTTCCTGGATGATTAAAGTTGTTGAACATCTTTACATGCACCTGTTGGCCATTAGTATATCTTCTTGTGAGAAATGTCTATTCAAATTCTTTGCCCATTTTTAATTGGTTTATTTTCTTATCATTGAGTTGTGAGAGTTCTTTATATAAACTGGATACAGACTGTTGTCAGATACATAATTTATAAATATTTTTTCCCATTCTGTGGATTGTCTTTTCACCTTCTTGGTAATTTTTTTTTTTTTTTTAAGATTTTATATGCCCATTTGAGAGCTCAAGAGAGAGCACAGCGGTGGGGAGGGGCAGAGGGAGAGGGAGAAGCAGACTCCCTGCCAAGCAGGCAGTTTGCCATGGGGCTTGATCCCAAGACCCTGAGATCATGACCTGAGCCGAAGGCAGACGCTTGACCAACTGAGCCACCCAGGTGCCTCTTGGTAATGTTTTTTGAGGCACAAAAATTATAATTTTATTGATGTCCAATTAATCTTTTCTTTAGTTGCTCATGCTTTAAGTGTCATACCTATGAAACCATTGCCTAATCCAAAATCTTGAAGATTCAACCCTGTGTTTTCTTCAAAGTAACAATTTTTGTCTTAAAGTCTCTTTTACTTAATATTAATATAGGCCTTTCTAGCTGTCTTTTGGTGACGTGTTGAGCAGAACACTAGGCACAAGTTACCAATGCTGGGGAAGACTGACCATGTTGGAGATAGCAAATACCGTCACTATACCAGCCTGCAGGAATAGAAGTTTAAATACTTCTGCCCGCTGCATCTTGGTATCAGAGTCACCAAGGAAAACACAACAGAGTCAAGCACTGGATGGAATAATGCTTTTACACAGTTAGAGAAGAGATAGAGCAAGATAAGTTCTGATAATATGCCACTGGTCCCCAAAGCTAGTCGGTGCCCCCAGCAGCTGACACGGCAGTTGGCCTATGCACCCTCCTCTTATGCCACAACAGGAATCCAACCGCACTATTGTGGAGTCCAGAATACTGAAAGCTGAGGTGGTGCCAGAAGTGCGTTTATTACATGCTTAATCAGAAAGAAGGAACACTTAAATACAAGATATTCCCACAAGGTGAATGGTTTGTACAGGCTGTGTGGTCTCTTTATCGTAAGGAAATGTTCCAGGCCCAAGGCTCATTCTTATGTAGCTGAGTGGGGGTTGAAAGACTACACACATGAGACTGTCTTTCTCATCAGTTTTCATGGTATATCTTTGTCCATCCTTTCATTTTCTGTTTATGTCCTTAGATCTCAAGTGAGTCTGTCAGACACTGTTTA